AGAAAACAAATCCTAATCAGAATAGGAAACTAACACCCTAACTCCTAAACCTAATAACCACGAATTGGGCCTTAAATAAATGAATGTTCAGCCCAAAATAATATAAAAAGACATGAAAATCACTAAAAGTAACCTAAAGTAACATGAAATATCAGTTACAAAATTGCGACAGAATTGTGAGATTGATGCAAACTGTGTAATTTAGCACAAATGACCTCAATTAAGCTTCTCTTCAACCTGAATAATGTTTATCATGCCTTGACAATCATCCAAGCTTTGATTTACTTGTGCATGTTGTTATCAACCCAGATCTGCTCAATAAGGCCATTTAAAGCTTCTTGCATCTTCTTAGCTCTAGCTCTCGTGACTGGACCTCTTGGAATATGTAATGGATCTCTTGACGTGATACATGTGGGGTCATCTTGATTCCCATCAATTGGGAAGAGTGTTTGCGACACATTGAATTTGCTTACAACTGGAGCATCCATTCAGCAACTAACTGCTCACCATTTGAGGTTGCGTATGGTTTTAATCCACTGACTCCTTTGGATTTATTGCCATTACCTATTGATGAACAAGCTAGTTTGGATGAGAAAAAGAACGTTGAAGTGGTTAAGCAACTACATCAGAGGGTGCAGCAAAACATAGAGCGACGAACTGAGCAATATGCAAATCAAGCCAACAAAGGGCAAAAGAAAGTTGTGTTTGAACCTGGACATTGGGTTTGGGTGCATATGCAGAAGGAGCAATTCCCTGCACAAAGGCGTTCTAAGTTGCAACCAAGAGGCGACGGACCATTTCAAGATTGCAAGGATAAACGACAACGCATACAAGTTGGAGCTTGCTGGTGAGTATAATGTTAGTGCTACTTTTAATGTTTCTAATCTTTCTCCTTTTGATGTAGGTGATGATTTGAGGAGGAATCCTTTTGAGGAGAGAGGGAATGATGGGAATCAAGACGACAGCATATCTACTACGTCATGTGATCCATTACACACCCAAGGAGGACCAGTCACGCGAGCTAGAGCTAAACGATGCGTGAAGCTTTAAATGGCCTTACTGAGCAGATCTGGGTTGAAAACAACATACAACAAGCAAATCAAAGCTTGGATGATTATCAAGGCATGGTAAACATCATTCAGGTTCAAGAGAAGCTTAGTTGAGGTCCTTTGCATGGAATTACATAGTTTGCGTCAAAATTGCACAATTCTTCTGCAATTTGTAGCAAACTGATATTTCATGTTATTTTAGGTTATTTTTAGTGATTTTCACGTTTTTTGTATTATTTTTGGGCTGAACATTCACTTATTTGAAGCCCAATTTGTGGTTATTAGGTTTAGGACTTGGGGTGTTAGTTTCCTATTCTGATTAGGATTTGTTTTCTCTATTTAAAAGGCTTTCTAACCCTAATGGGGAGGGAGGCTATTGAATCTGAGATTTTGAAAGACTTTTCTCTTTGGTTCGTTTCAGAACTTTACAGAACTTATCAAGATTATTCTTGTGGTGTTCTAACCTGACTTATCATTCTCGTTATTAATCGTTTGAGGGTGTGGCATCAACCAACTTTATACCTCTGGTTCATGTTGCGTCATAGACAACGGGTCAAGGTTTTTACCTTTGGTTCTTGTTGCGACATAAACA